TTGTGGACTTTTTCATGAAAATAAGCTCGTCGAGGTATCGACACGGACGAGCACAGCCCCGTCTATGCCAAGAGCCACTCGGAGGGAATGTGCCTAGACTGGTGTCGAGTAGTAGCACCCTACCGGGACCTTCTTCGCTGCCAACCCTGACAGAACTTTCCAAGTTCTCCAGAGCACAACATGTGAGCTGCCTTACTAGGCAGCATCTAGGGAGCTGTGAGGAAGAAGACGCCTGCTGTCATGAAAGCAAGTGTGGGCAGCAGTTGTTTCTCGCAGGAGCTCTCACAGCTTATGGCGACTCTGATGAAAGCGACGTCTCCGAGTACTTGCAGCTGCTGTGGCTCGTCGTAGAGGTTTTGTTTAATCTCTATAGGGTTTAGGGGTTTAGGGTTTAGGGGTTTAGGGTTTAGGGGTTTAGGGGTTTAGGGTTTATGGTTTAGAGTTTAGGGTTTGGGGTTTAGTACATGGACGATTGCAACAGACAGTGTGTTTGCTGTGCCAGCACACGTGGCTGTTCTACACATGGGGAGAGGCTCCTGTGAAACTCAAGTGTGAAACGCCCGGAAGCAGAGGTACAGTCACGCATTGGAGACAGTTTGCGAAAATCATTTAGAGATGGTGACAGCAGAAACAGTAAGTATTCCTTAGTCAGTAGTCATATATGCCATAGTCAGGCAATAAGACAGCGAGGCATAGTTCTAACTATAGCCCCTAAACCTTGCCCGAGTTGCGAGAGTCCAAACCCAAAATTGGCAAGGCTATGAGCATGATGGATGCGCCTGGTCAATAGCAACAGACCCGTTACAGTAAGCGATACCAGTAACAGCGGTCTGGGATTTAGGGCACGACAATGTATGTTGAGACGACTGATGACTCGGAATCACGCGTTCGGGGCTACAACATCTACAGTTGGAGTATGGTGGCCTCAGTGTTGGCTTTACGTTGGGAGAGTGTGATGTTGACAAGGCCAGGCTGCTCGACAACGAGGCTTGCTGCAATAAGGGCAGGATCATGGTCGAACTTAGCAAGCATCACCGCACCGCGTAAGCAAGCAAACTCAAAGCCTCGGGAGCCCAAGGCACCCCTGTTCTATCAACCCCAAACAAAGCTTCTGTCGGTCGATCTATCTATCCATCTATCAATCTATCTGTCTGTCTGTCTATCTGTTTATCTATTTGTCGATCTATCTATCTGTCTATCGGTCTATGTATCTGCCTGTCGGTGTCTGTCTGTCTGTCTGTCTATCTATCTATCTATCTATCTAGCTACCTATCTGTTATATATATGTATGTATATATATATATATATATCTGTGTGTGTGTGGGTGTGTGTGTATGTATATATACATATATACATCCATCCATACATACATCTAACTATCCCTGGCAAATACTCATGAAAAGCCGACAGACCTTTACGAACCCTAAGAGCTGCCCAGCTCCAGCCCAGGTGTGATCTTGAGGGGCTCTGGTATGACCAAAAGAACAACAACCTGATGTGCCAGGTTCGGGTCCGCCGGCTGAAGCATAGTAACTACTGTGTTATACTATATCCTATCATATCGTATCATATTGTAGCATTGTATCATATGATATTTGTGCTAGCAGCTCGGCTACATTTCTCTGCCGCGCCTACGAGCTCCGTGTGGCCATATCGTGCAGCTTTCGAAGCTTACTGCAGTAAGCATTGTGCTAAGCTCGCGCAACATGAGCATGCATAAAGAGTGCAGTGTTGATTACGGGGTCAGAGTTAAGGTGCATGAACCAGGGGCAGATATACAACCATTGTGCGTGCGAACGCATTACTCTGCAGTTTACTGTGTCAACCTTGAGATCGTACTGGGGTCGATCCAAGATGACCCTTTCAACGCACGGCTCCCGGTTTGAACCGCAGGGTTGAGCTGTTGGGTTCACGGGTGTACAGGGTTGAACTAATGTTCTCAGAATGCGACCAATAGCAAAAAGGGCTCTCAGAGTCAATGCTTCAAACCCGGTTGCCCGACTGAGCGACTGAGGAGGGAGTCTTGATCTGGATGTGGCGCTTCGTCTGATTTATTGTGCCTTTCCGTAGGGCTGTTGTGCTCGGGTGTGTTCTCAAAACTCATTGTTGCAATTGCCGGTGCCTGGCAGATGAGTACACTCCACAGCAACCCTTGCCAATTCTGTAGAGCAAGGTCCGGCAAAGCGACCTTGCACGTAGCCTTTGAGACCAGCAGTTGTCATTGAGTGGCTGTTCGGAAGCTAGGCTGGGAGCTTTGAGAATCTTTGCATATCTGCCTGGATCCACAAATCTCCAAGGCAGAAGAACTCGCGGAGGCTCCGCAAAGTGTCTTATGTAATGTACACCCGTCTGACTCGGCCAGGAAAAGTATCACCACTTCTGCTGCAGCCGCCCCCAGCAACACCAGCACCAGCGTCTACCTACAATCAGAATCAGGGAATGAATTTCGACATAGTTTCTCTGCGCACACTTGCAGCCAACTGTGAAACCCAGGCCTTGCCAAATTGCTGGAGAAGTGCGGGCAATGCCTCCCAACACCATCCAGCCGCCGGAAGCAAGAGGGGACTGGCTGGTGTTTGGGGCTTACTGTATGGTCGTGTGCTGAGGCTACTTCGGGGTTCATTATCCGGGTGCATACTGCTGCTACTACTACAAGGAAGTCGTAGCAGTTGTCGAGGAGCCTGAGCAGAGCAACTACTAGAACAGGCGTTCTCATCCCCATGATGACGGTGCTTACGCGAGATGGCAATGGTATGATTCTGCTTCTAGATCCTGACACCTCAAGCATGGAACTCTAATCCTGTGCGGTTCTCAGGACTTTGAGGGCTCACTTGTTGAGAGTCAGCATCATGATCTGAGCTCTTTAGAGTAACTGTTGAGCAAAAACAGCAGGCTTGAGCTGGATGGTCACATCCACATTGGAGTCTTCACGGCTGATGCGCAAGCCAGCATCGTCTGGAATGATGGGGACATCTGGCTAAAGAAGTGATGGCTGGGTCGCATTAAACAGCGTATATAACGTGATTGAGATCCGGGTGTTGGCCATACCAACTGCAATATTCGTGCCAACGATAGGATTTGTTGTGACCTGGTTGTTGTTTTGAGGCATCGCTTCTGTGATTTAGTTGTCTTGCAAAGCAAGATCAGAGTAGCACCTAGACGCCGGTTGCCGTTCGTTTGTCATGCACGTGTCCGTGCCCCGCGCTGCAAAGTTTTCAGCCAAAAAGAGTTGGGCCAAAGCAAGCTGATTCTTGGATGAAGTCAATCAAGCGCCGCAAGTATCCGCTAATACTTTGTTGCCCCTTGCAGAACCCGGTGTTAGGAAGACTTATCAGTGTTGCGCCATGTATGGCATTAGCACTATGTGACGTTATGGGGTGCATTCCACTAATTCTGCGAAGCTGTTGCTTGCCACCATGTACCACATGGCAAGAACGACTACTCCTGCTACCACCACGACGATGGCTGCTACTGCTACTGCTGCTGCTACCTCTGCCACTGCCGCTGTACGACGACTTCTACGATTGCTACGGCAACGGCTATTTCTACGGCTGCTTCTACTATCACTACTACGGCGACGAAGACGACGACTACTACTCCTACCCGTCTGCTGCTGCTACTGCCACTGCTACTCGCACTGCCACAACAACTACTACTACCACCACTACTACTGCTACTGCTGCTACTACTGCTACTACTGCGACTACTGCTACTACTACTACTACTACTACTACTACAGCCACAACAACTACATCCACTACTACTGCTACTACTACTTCTTCTATTCCTACTTCCTACTTCTTACTGCTACATCATCTACTACTACTACTACTACTACTAACCACCTGGCGTCTCAATCCACCACCATCGATCATCATCATCATCCATCACCAAACATCAAACATCATCGTTCGTCACCAAACAACAAACATCCATCATCATCTATCATCATCCCCGACATCACGAAAGTACTACTACTACTACTACTACCACCACTACTTCTTCTATTCCTACTTCCTCTTTCCTACTTCTTACTGCTACATCTTCTACTGCAACTACTACTACTACTACTACTACTACTACCACTACTACCACGACGATTACGACGACGACGACTACTACCACGACTACTACGACTGCGACGACTACTACTACGACTACTACGACTGCGACGACGACGACTACTACTGCTGCTAGTGCTGCTACTACTACTACTACTACTACTCCTCTTTTTCTTTCCACTACCGCATAGTATTAGTATTGTTACCAGTACTAGTACTACTACTAGTGCCAGTACTAGTGCGAGTAGTAGTACTAGCACTGGTACTAGGACTAGTACTACTGTGCTAGCACTAGTACGAGTATCAATACTGTCACTATTTATCGCTACTACTACTACTACTACTACTATTACTACTACTATCACTACTATCACTACTACTACTACTACTACTACTACTGCTACTACTACTACTACTACTACCACTACTACCACTACTAGTAGTAGTAGTAGTACTACTACTACTACCACCACTACTTCTCTATTCCTACTTCCTACTTCCTACTTCTTACTGCTACTACGACTACTACTACTACTACTACTACTACGACTACTACTACTACTACTACCACCACTACTACCACCACTACTACTACCACTACTACTACTACGATTACTACTACCACTACTACTACCACTACTACTACTACTACTACTACTACTACTACTACCACTACTACTACTACTACTACTACTACTACTTCGACTACGACTACGACTACGACTACTACTACTCCTCCTCCTCCTGCTGCTGCTGCTGCTGCTGCTGCTGAGCGGTGTTCACATCTCCCCGTGGTGGCGATGCACATCGAAGTGGGTTCACGCCTTTTGGGGACAGACCTGGTGCTGAGCCAAGCAAGCGTCTCTCTTCTGATCCGCTCTTCTCAGGCTCGCCCTGGTGAACTTCCTTTCGTCTTTTGCAGCTGCGAGGAAGTTTGCGATGAAGGCGGGTGCGGTGCAATACCACTGCCGCGCAAATGCTCGCAGTAGCGACAAGTAACATTATATAAAGCTGATCCTGACAGTGCTACCAAAGTCGCGATGGCGGAATTGGTTTTGCAATTTTGCACAGATGCACTTTTTTGCTGTACAGAACTGCGAGAATGTGTGGTTGACCGTGCAGAGCTGACGTAGCAGACTGCACAACCAGGCAGGTTACCAAGTGGTGGCCGTCAATGAGCTCCTCGCGCTCGGCGCAGCGAAGCTTGGAATTGTTTGAGGCTCCCTGAACTCTGGAGGGGTCTTTCTCGTGTTCCTGTGCTGGCCTGAACGGGCCGAACGGGATGGCAACGCTCAGGAATGTGGGTGGTGCCATGTGCGGTGCGGTCCCAACTCAAATCGGCCTCAGCCGGATGGGAGTCTGGCCAGACCTTAGAGCAAGGGCACCAGGATCCACGCGAGGTTATCTTGTAGAGGTGCCAGGCGCTAGTTGCGGCGGTACTTCTGAATACCAGACCGTGTGCATCCCGAAGCAGCGAAGAACTCTTCCAACTTCGAATGTGCCCATGCAAGGAATTGCCAGTGCCATTGGGGTGAGGAGCCAGCTAGGCCTCTTCCTGCACAAACACATCCACGCACATCGACGGCATGTTGTGATTGTCTTTACATGAACCCCTGAATCCCTACCACCCCTCATATCCCCGAAGCATGCAGGGCCACGGAACCGCCCAAGCATTCTTGCGTCCTGGGCATTCCTGTCAGGACGGTAGCTTCGGGTCTACCTACAGATTCACATCGTGGCATTACCTGACCCTGCGCAGGTGCGAACATATTTGTGGCCTGCGTGATTGCGGTGATCCTTCTACTGCTGAGTCCATACATCTACTATGTGCCAAGGCCAGTGCAAAGAGAAACCCTCTCCGCTCTGCCAAGTAGTTCTTGTATGTGATCATACCACATGTCCAGGTGTGCGCTGAACATCATTATCATCTTGGGGGCGTCCTCGCTCACAGTTGCCTGACTTGTCAGAAGTCGTTCGCGAGAAGCCCCGACTTGCGATTAGAAATGCTACCAAGTGTTTGGCCTCCTGATGTTTAGTTGCGACATTGGCATGGTAACAGAAGCCGGGAATGACCAATAATCATAACGAGGACGTAAGCTCTGCATGGCTGCAAGCACAATCCCTCTCCGCCGCAGCACGGGCGTTTCTTACGGCAAGGAGTTCAATCATGCCGCATGGCTGTGGTCTTTGCGGTCAACACGCACGCGCCAGCGAACATATGTCGTGGACTATGCTGTCACTCGGCTTGCACGACGCCCCGCTCAACACGCTAGAAAAGCGGCACTAAGTCTTCTACCATGGGATCAGGTTTGGTGGGTGGCCTTTCTCTTCACGCTCTACCTCGGAGCCTTAAAAGGCCGGATCAAAAAGTAGAAGTTCTTCGCAGGCTGCGGTGCTCTCAAGTGCCATTGAAGTTTCGTTGCGAGGTATCCTCGGTGCCGTGGTCGTGTCTTTGGTGTTGATTGTGTACCAAGTGGCTGACCCACCCATCACAACTTTGGGCTACTGCGAAGAGCGTGGGCGGTGGTTGAATGTCAAGGACGGTATCTTCCGCCAACATGTCGATGTAAGTTCCGGCTCATGTCGTCCATCCGTGCTTCTTTTGTCCACAGAACGTCCCCGAACAGTAAGACACACAAGGACATTCAGCTGTGCGTGTTTAGCTTATGTTTGTGATATCTACCCGGAATCTACCCAATTGGCTTCATGCTGTGCGATGCAAGGAGTTCGCATTCGTGAGCCTCTCGTTTCGAAGCCATGGGAGTGAAATAGGGCGCAGGCTGAAGATTGGTGTAGCAGTCCGCATGCCATGATCCTCGCTTGCTCTTGTATCTCGTCGGGTGTGTCCGGGAGCCGTCAGGAGAGGAAAGACACTACACAACGGCTGGGGATTCTTTCATTCCGTCCGGAGGGCCCGCTTTTCTATGCCAACGTGGAACGCATGGAGGACCTCGTTTCTGGCATCTGGGAGAGCAGGAGAGCACAGCTTGCTGGGGTACTTCCTTCGAGGAGTGGCTCGACGAAATGGAGATTTCCGCCAGTGCTGTGACTCGGCGGGAGGAATGCTGAGCATTCATTGCACACTGAATCCACTTAGGAGGGAAAGCCGCTGAAATCCATCATCCTTTCGGCGGCATCCCTGCCTTTCATGGACACTTCTGCAGTTGAAGCCCTAGGGATGATGTTCCCCAGCTTGCAGCTTGCAGTACTTCCGTTTCTTCAAAGTACGCACGCTGTGGCAACTGGCAGCAAAGGCTTGAGGCATATCGCAAGCGGAAGATAGCGTTCTTGATCGCTCATGCCTCTGGCCAGCCGATTCCTTATGTTGCTCTGCCGCGATGCGGCTAGAGGAACGGTTGTGCTGCCGGATGGGCAGGCCCAGGGCTGCTTTGAAAGCACGCTGCGCAAGCCGATGCTTCTTCTAAGGCCACGGCAGATACTGCTGCATGTTCTAGGCAGGGCGCGAGCACCATGCATTGTGTGTGTGTGCATGTCAGTCAGTCTGTTTGTTTGTCTGTCTATCTGTCTGTCTGTGCATGTGCACATATACATATCATATCTATGTTTAGTCGGTCGACTAGGTCTATTGGGGGGCAGAGATCTCCTAGGATGTCTGTCTCTTGCGATGTAGTACTGGGGGGCGGTCTTCAGGCGATTACATGCCGGAGGGTTGCCTCACTACTCCTTGGACGGTGGAGGACGAGTGCCAGACCTGCCATGGCCGCCTAGCACGGGTCCTGCGTTGAGCTGCTTCGCAGGAATGCGTGCAGTTTCTCTTGCGGCAGAACCAGGAGAACCTTCAGGCCGAAGATCGTCAAATGGCACAGCCATCTTCTTCTTTCGCTTCAGCTTAACTTGTGTGTCTGCGTGACTGCAAACTTGGCTCACAGGTGCCCGATGAGTCGTCTGGTTCCTCACCGGCGCTGTCTGCCATGCTCTCTCCACAGGCCATCCGGGCACGCAAAAGAAATCATAAGTTGTGTGAACTCGGCAGCGGCAGGTCCGAAGTATTCCTCGTGTGACATCCATCCCACAACAACTCGCAGTGGACGAGGAGGAGAGTTGCGTGCAAGTACAACACCTGTTTGGCCGCCAAGAGCGTGTCTGTCCACTCCAGGAACTTGATGAACATGAAGATGGACCTATGGCTGAAATTAGCAGCTTGCGGCTTTCCAGACTTCAGGTCATCTACAGCTGGGGTGGGCAGGCAAAGAAGCTAAACCCCTACCTGGTTGCACGACGGCGTTGTCACAACAGGTAGTTGGCGGCCGAGGGTCACATACTGATTTCCCTCCCGCGTCAGTCAAACGCATCTTCTGACAAGCTGGGCATAAGGCAAGCGCTTGCAAGTTCGGCCGCTTCGTGCCTCCGCGGACTTTGCCTCCAGCATCTCGCCTTTGTGCGCAATCTTCTCACCAAATCTAAGCAGCATCTACTGGCAACGAGGTTCGAACCTCCTGTCCTTGCCGGTGAAGTGAATCGGCAGCGCGCTGTGTTCACGAAGATAATAATACTCGGTGTGAGTTTCGACGTTTGTGTGGAGCTCGGACTGTTCACGAACAAGTCCAGAGTCCTTACCTCGTGGTGCCAAAGGGGTGCCATGCATTGCTTACTTGCGCTGGAAAGCAAACGTGCAGACCTACTTGCATGTCCTTGGCTCGTGGACGTTGCCAAATGCAGTGTGAACGCAGCTCTCCTTTCTGATTCTGCCGCAATTATTTCAAACGTTGGCGCCAAGAATTTCTAGCCTGCCCTCGGTGAAACGGGGCGCAGAGGCCGGCGGGACGTCAGTCTGCGCAGAGCTTTTGATGAGCAAGCCGGCAGTGTGCAGGTCGGGCGGCAACATGCCGCGGGTAGGCCATGGGCCTGCAACAGAGGACGGCACACAGTCGACAGAAAGATCTTCAGATGGGAAAGACTTTCAGATGGCTCTCTAAGCGCCCTCTCCAGGAGAGGCGCCTCAACAGCGGGCTCCAGACGTTGCCTTCAGGCCCGACTCCGTCGCCCTCTATATCTATATCTATATCTATATCTATATCTATATCTATATCTATATCTATATCTATATCTATATCTATATCTATATCTATATATATATACACATATACATATACGTATACATATACATATACATATACGTATATATATATATACAGAGAGAGAGAGAGAGAGAGAGAACAACATGTGATCTGACAGTTCGTTGGCAAGCAGTTTATCGGGACCACAGGGCCGTTCTGGAGTAGCCGAAGCGTAGTGCAGTCTGAGCTGGGGGGACCAGGGCAACACTAGTTCAAGGGGCACTTCGGATGTTGAGAATAGGGAGTCCAGTCTTTCCAGCCTGTACATGTTGCGTGGTCTGCCAGGGGCTCGGTTTTGTGTACTGCAGTTTCTGGGCATGTTGTGAACGTTGTATTGCTGCTGAACAAGGGAGACCACGGAGCAGTAGACCCTAAACGACGAAGCCCGGGCGTTCCACTAGGTTCAGGGTTAGGGGTTCGTTCCCTTGGGCCTCATCGCATAATGGTAGTACTGACCAACGAACAAGCAGGGCACATTCGTGCGCGAGGGGGGGTTCTGCGCGCCTTCGTTCTGGCTGTGTGGAAGAAGAGAGAGGTGCTGTACCACACCGCTCCCGAACACCCGGCAACGGACCTGCCGAGTTCGTGATTTTGGCACGGACACCAAGAAGGAGAAGTGCACCTACGATGGAGGACCCCGCCAGGGAGGGGGATCCACCAACAAAGGTGGAGAGAACAAAAAAGACTAAGGAACAACAGCCTCTGATGATAGGGGGCATACGCCGCTGCCTAAGGCGCGTGACCGGAGAACCCAGAGGCCAAGGAGGCAAGCACTACGGGCACGACAGGTTGGAGAGGGCCATCCACGACCGCGCAGTGGCACAAAGACGAGCGGTGGACGCCTATGACCAGAACCACCACTGCGGGGCAACGGAAGCACCGGCTTTGGCGAGCATACCACCCGATGCCTCAATTACGACACTGGGTTCCAGGGACTACCAGACCAGCCGAGCCCAGCGAACCACCTCGGCAACACACTGAGGGCAGAAAGGGGGGAGGCAGCTACGCGAGGGACTCGCGCAGAAGATCATAAAGACAGCGATCCAGATGGACAGGACCAACTAAGGCGGCACCACCTTTGCAAGCAAGCATTACAAATACTTCAGTGAACCAAAAGCCTTGAGCTAAGCTCTACCCGTGTACAACTCGCTCCAACTGTTACAACGTGAGACACCCGCTTGAAAAGCTAGGGAGCCATGTGGAATTCGCTTTCAGGGGGCACTTGATACTTGCACTCCGTGAACCAAACAAGAGGTGTGCCTGACCCAACATAAGAGTGGAGGGCCACAGCCCTGGCGAAAGAAGCGTTTTGTGTTTGTTTGCACTTGTCTACCTTTAGGTCAATGGACACTCGAGCTGCACACGCCTTTTGCAACGAACCTTCCAAAAAGGAAGATATGCCGTACTGGCATTACTCCTAAGGGTTACCCCACAACTTGGGGGACACCTGCTTGATTCTGATGATCCATAACCGGGAACGCTAACTTGAAAACTACCTTACTTTCCTTCTGGACCTGTTCGGAACATCAAATACCCTTCTTCTGACAGGGGGAACGGCAACATGCTGAGAACCCCAACAGACCAAGGACTCAGCTGCGCGCATGCGCGTGGGGGGGGAGGGCCTACGGGTGCTTTCCCTCGAAGCTGGTAGCAAGCAAGCAAGAGCGAGAGAGAGAGAGAGAGAGAGTCACGGTTTAGTAGGGGTGTTTTGCGGGCGGGTTACAGTACAGGCACACTCAGTGGAATGTACAGCGATCCACCCTCGAAAGGGGCCGATCAAACGCACAGACGCATGTCGCGTGGGGTAGGCCTCCGGGCCAAGAGGTTGCTTGCAGCCCCGACACCCCTAGCAAGCTCGCAAGCAAGCGCTGAGAGCCAGGGGGTTCTTCCCCAGACCCCAAGCAAGCAAGACAGAGAAAGAGAGAGAGAGGGAGAGCGACCCCAACACAGGGCCACGAGAACAGACCGTCGCGAACCGTTGTGGGGTTGGCCTTCGGGCCGGGGGTCGTCGACCCCCAACCCCCAGCAAGCAAGCAAGCAAGAGAGCGAGACACAGCCCCAGCTCAAACGAAATGGAAGTCGGCGCACCTCCATGAACGGGGGATGTGAACTGTGAGACACCTAGGAACTGCAGAGACAAGCACAGCGGGGGAGTCTTGTGTTCCTGCTAGCAACTATTAGCACCGGGTCGGCACCTTGGCTCAGCAGTCTTCCACTACAGTTTGATGATCTCGATGCCTGCAGACTTGCCTTGCGACTGGCGCAGTGTAGGCGAAGCGCTGAGGGCGGCGTGGGTGGCGGGGTCGGTGGGGGGGTGGCGGTGTAGCCAACTTTGGGGGGCCAGGTGGGGACAATGGCAGAGGAGTGAAGGCGGTGAGCGGTGGGGGCAGTGAGGGTGATGGTGGCTGGGCGAAGCGCTGAGGGCGGTGGGGGTGGACGAAGCGCTGAGGGCGGTGAGAGCGGTGAGGGCGGTGGGAGCGGAGGGGGGTTGGGCACACATTGGAAGCCTCATGTTGACACCGGAGTCGTACGTTTGCTGTGTTATGTGATGCCTAGTATGTTGGTGTTGCACTTATCGTCACAGTACCTAGCATGTTGACTTTTCAGTTGATTCAAGCAATAGGCTCAGAGTAGCACTACGCCCTGAACCAACTCCGAGCCCTGGGGGGACATCTGATAGTGTCTTAAGTGTCTTACGGTCCATGTTCAGAGCAATGGGCTTGTCAGACAGCAGCGGGGAACAGTTTCGAACGCACTTTGTTTGGAGGCCCCCCTAAGCTTCCGCTGTTGTACCGTTATGGAAGTCTCGCCAACCTGCTACAGAGCTACGGCTTAATGAATAGGGGGGGGCCCGCGCATGATCTTAGAATCCTTTCAAATCATAGAATCAGGATCTTGTGCCCTTTGTTGTTGCTGTTGAATGCTATGCTCTCTGCATGGGCGTCATGCTCTGAGCTCAAGTCTTCAAGTACCACGAGATAGAAAACCTACAGGCGCCTGTTCTCGGAGAGTGAATCCAGGCCCTCAGAAACAAGACCAACCCTTGCCTCATTCAAGAGCAAGGCATAGAGCACAGGAGCCGAGAAGATCGAACAAGGCAACACCACAGGCACATCAGATTTGGTTGATCCCATGAACGGATCAAGCCTTGCGTATTGTCAAGCGGGACCTCAACTCAGCTGGGTGCGGCACGCATTTCGATCCGCTCAGCTCCGATTTCTTTCGATTTTCCTTCTGAGCGGGAGGACGTACTTGTGCCCGGTAGTAGCATAGTGGCTGCTGTGCAGTAAAAACACTACCCGCCTGGCAGTTTTGGTCATGCCCTTTCTCCGACTCACTTTTACAAGAAGCAGTGGGAAATTGAGCAATCAATTCCTTCCATCTTCCTGTTGTTCGGAGTGCTCGTGGACGAGCGATGGCGGGGTGTGCGCCAGGCTTGGCCAGGTTCTAAATTGGGTTGGCACGATAAGGGCCTTGTGCAGCCGCTCTTCTTCTGTCCTTTGTCTTGCAGCCTGCAACGAGGTAGCGGTTGGATTTCCGAGCAACTCTGTCCACCCTTTCACCAGGCATCAATGCCTTTCCCGTTGCAAGACACAGCCCTTTCCATCGCTACTTGGTGAATGGTTACTACTGGAATTTTCGCTGTGCAGAGGCAGACCATGACTTGTTGCGATTCCCAGTGCCAGAGCGCGATAGTCGAACCTAGCAGCTGGTAGGTAGAATGCGACTTCGAGTCGGGTCACATGCATCGGCTTCTTCCGCTTTGCCAAGGAAGTATAAATCAAAAGATGCCGGAGCTATGGTCCGACTTCTCGGAAAGGGGATTGCCGCATGAGCCTTGGCTTCGTGAGTCAGTGTGAGGCCATTAGTGGCCGGTCGGGGATAAGTTCATTTATAGAGTCACACTGGCGGAAGCGGCCCTTGCGGCATCTTGCGGAGTGGGGCCATTGTGCGCTCTTGGCTATAAACTTCATTCGGCGGAGCGGCCGTGTTCAGGGCCGCGCTGGAACCCACGAGCGGATTGACAACTACCATGGAGACCCGGCTCCTTGGCGGAACGGCTTAGAGTCGAACCGAGCTTTCTAGGATGCCTCGCCTGTCGATGTTGTTGCACTCTCAAGTCGGAGGAGTTGTCAAATCGTGAAGCTCCAGTTTCGGCACGACCCGGGCAAGTGGTGTGCCTCGGCATTTCAGTCTCAGCTACGAGGAATCTCCGAGATAGGGCAAATTGTACAAAGTGTTCTTCAAATTCGAAGATCAGACGCAGTGGAGAAGCCTTCCAGCCTCCCTCGCAGGTTCGTCGGGCTGGCAGAATTCGACATGGATGGCAGGGCATTCACTGGCGGGGAGATGGACCGCATGATGATGAGCCTTTGGTGCAGAGCCATACTGTAGCTGATGGGACGGGCAATCCGGATTGCTCGGAAGCTGAGGATCGCTGCTTCACAAAAGTACCCTTGTTCACGCCCAGCGACTTTTGACGAGTACGCTGCATCTTGGCCACTCTCTTGTGGAGGACTGTGGAGCGTACAAAATGAAATCTTAGCTCAGGAGAAGTCTATTCTCGGCCTTCCCCAGCGAAATACCAGCGGCCGCGATGTGGTCTTCGTCGGGCCCGGCGCGACTGGCTGCAGCTCGCCTCCGCGCAACGTGCAACTTCTTAGTCTGAACTTGGCCGCCGCCCAGGCGAGTTGTTCCATACCAACACCCTAGGACCGCCAGTGCGAGTTGCGGACACATGCTGCGCAAGTGCATGTAGTGTCTACGAGTCTACAGAAATCACACAGTTTCCAGGAGTGCAGAAAGCCGTCGTTCCGCCTGGCGACACGTCGCTTGGCCTGGCTTCTTGCGCTGTACCTTAAGTAGGTGTTGCACATGACATCGTGAAAGGTTCGATGGAACGTGGGGAGCTGCTTCGCTCTACGGGCGGAAATGCCGCTCGGCCCAAGGGTTCTGAGACGCACCTGATCGCGTGTCCGCTTCTCGGAATTGAGAGATGAGAAGTAGTAAATTGTTATAAATTGTTCTTACATCGAAGCCTTGCAGCATGTGAGAACTTGCCTCAAGCCGAGCTCGGCATGGCATGGATAAAGGTCAGCGGTCAGAGAGACAGAGAGAGCTGCGCGGAAGATTTTTATGTGGTTCGTGTCTGCAGCTGCTGGACTGATGCCTCGCGTCAGAGGCATTCTCTGTGTTTACCCTCTCCAGCGTCTGAAGAAGCAGCAGAGTCTGGTGCAGTTCGGCCTTGCACGGAGCACCGTTGGAAGGCCTTGCGGACTCCATTGTGAACATTGCAGATCACTGCATGGCCATGTCACCAGATTATGCCATGTTCCTGAGTCCTTTGCCTTTGCCTCTGCAAATGGGTGTCCTGCTGGGTCCACAATTTCCCGAACATGTGGGGATGTTGCCCAAGAGTGACCCCTGAGCGACAGCACGTCCGGCATGCCGCAGCTCGAGAAGTGGTTTCAGATCAGTTCAGTCGACTTGTGGTTTGATTGGCCTGCTTTTTCGAGATCTCGAGATCGCGATGCATTAGACCGGTTAAAGAGGTCTGGGCGTCTCCGCCGGGCAGGCAGCCTGGCCTCGCTGTCGGACCCGGAGAGTTTAGAACGGGTCAGGCATTGAAACAGAGAGCCTTTGTCCTCTCCATGATTTTCCATGAAGGCTCCATGCTAGGCCGGGACTCAAGATGCAATCCCCCTGCCATGGCGCAGTCAGGACACCACCCAGTGGACAACCAGTAACTTCGGTGCCTCCAACCAGGCCGGAGCTCGAGCTTTGGAAGAGTCAGAAGGCACTGCGGCGCACTGAAGCGAGACTCGAGTCAGCTCCCGCAGGCACAGACCACTCAGCGAATGGATCAGTTTTTCCGCTGAGAGGGAGGCTTTATCGCCAGACGCAAGAGTGGACAAGGCAGTCCTCGTTTCATGTTTCACTTGGCACTCTGCATTTCGTCTCAAGGACATGCAGGTGCCTGTCTAGGCACACTCCGCCGAGCCGAATGCTAGGTGCTGGCAGCGTGGCCTGCAAAAGGGCAGTCTTCGAGCTCTGATCTAGGGAAGGTGCCGAACACAACTCACCAAACTTCACGGAGCTGATGTGACTGTCAGGTTGCAAGAATGGCCTTGGGGCTTGTCACGAAGTCTGCAACCTGCGTAATCACGGGCCTAGGAATGTGCTTGGCTTTGGTGATCCCTCCGCGTTAATGTTACTTTTCGAGAGGCTGCCCTGCATAGGGTGCTGCAAACACCGCCCTTGATGCCGTATTGTCGCACGCTGAACACTGGTTCCTTGCAAGCAAGGGTACTGCCTCGGGGCGGTGGTAATTTCTCACACACTTAATGTGCAGAAGCTGAAAGATAAAGTGGACGGTTTCAGAAATTGTCGAACATGTTGTTGCAGTCGGTGTTTGTAGATGGTTTGAATGAGGTGAGGCCGCCATAACATGACGAGCGTGAAGCAGCCTTGAAGTGAGGGTAGAATCATCAGCCCCTTTCCCCAAGCCCAGCTTGGCCAGCTGAAGACTGGGACCCGCACATGACATGCTTGTCCTGTTCGGACTGCTTCTTGCTGTTTCGCCGCGCGCTTACTGTTGCAGCTCGCTGGCATGAAGACATTGCATAGACTGAGCCAGCTGGCACCGCATAGTCTGGATTCACGGTGCAAAGATTCTGCCAATGGCACCTCTCATTCAACACCCACTCCTTCGGCATGTTGAGGTATTGCCGTTCCTCCACTTCCAGCACCGGAAGTGGTAGGTGCCTTGGCCGGCAATTGACCCGTTTCAGCGCCTGGCGCGGCTCACATCGAACATGCTTAAACTGTGACCAGATCAGTGAGGGACACAATGACATGTCTCGATTGTTGCGGTATGCAGCCTGCAGCACGGCACTGCAGCTTCATCGCTGACTGGAATATGTAGACTGTAGGAGGCTAGATACTGCTCTTGTCGATCTTTGTCCCCGCTTGGCTATGGCACCAACCTATGGCTCTTACTGGTGACTTGAAATTAGTTGTGAATCTGACAACTTCGCTGTGCAGGGCTGCAGGGTCATGCCGACCGCTCCCCTGGGGCTGCAGGTAGCGTGGACGGTTACACGCACTTGCGCGTCCACGTGCGGGAGGTTCAAAAGCAGCACATAGCGGGTGACCCTTGAACACGGCGGATTCCAGGACTTGGCGCTCTCAGTGCTCGAGGCCTCCCTCCCAGAGCAAGACGCTCGCCTGCTGCCGCCTGCTGTGCCAGCTCTCCGCTTTTTTGGGGAGAGACTGGCTGCAGCTTAGGAGCGCCTCGTCGAGGACGCGTTGGAACAACCCATTGCCTCTGCAGGAAGCAGCTTGCCTACCGTTTGGCATGCACCCGCTTGCTGCGGAAACTAAGCATGCCGCTGCAAGGCGATCCGTACGGTCTGGTGCTTTGGCCAGCGGCGCAGGTTGTGGCAGCAGCCTTGATTGGCCTCCTCGGCACTTACGGGAAGGCTGGAATTGCGCCATGAAGGACAGAATGCCTGTTGCCGTTGCTGGCCCTGCAGAAACGCCCCGCGCGTGTGGTGGAACTCGGCGCCGGAACAGGGCTGTGCTCGTTGGCTGCGGTGGCTACAGGGCACCAGGCACTAGCGACGGATTATCGTGAGGAGCCTTTGGCACTCCTGCGCCAGGCCAGGCCACTTGCTCTAGAAATCTGAATGTGCTGCTGCATGTTAGACGTAACGGATTGTTTCCACTCTGCGCGCAGCACTACAAAGACAAAGCCAGCACGGCGAAGCAAAGTATTTGCAGGCCGCGGCCCTCAATGAGAACCAGCTCAGCAAAAGGCTGCCTGTGGATACTGCGCTGCTAGATTTCACGAAGGAGGATGTGCCAGAAGCTGAAGCTCAGACGAGTATCAGATCCTCATCGAACAGCCTCGTTAGAGGGTCACGTAAGTTCCTCGCCTAGGGCCTCAGTCATTAGATGTCATTAGAATCAGAATAGCCATGTAACTTACATCTATTTTTTGCAGCCTTGAAGCAGTGCGAATTCTACAGAAGTATCATCGACTGCCTTGGAAGCATTCAATGTTCAAAGCCTTCAAAGCACCGAAGCAAGAACAACATTGCTGTTGCAGAGTTGAATGCACTGAAGCATACACATACAGCACTTGTTTTGAACATAGAGACATGTCAATGTGAGACATGGCACGTTTCACAATATGTGCTGCAAGAGGTTCAACCCGAAGCAGAAGTTGCGAGCCTGTAAAACCCAAACTTCACAACTTGGCACAAGCAACGTGGACTGGAGCGGCGAAAAAATACCCCTTTCACCAGAATGGCCAGACCCCCTTATCTCGATGCGAGAACGAGGGCTAGAATGCTGGGAAAATGAACACACGGCCCCGGTGCTCTCATCCAAGGACGTTGTGGTTGCAGCAGACCTGCTGTACTTGCGCTCAACATCACAAGCGCTTGCAGCAGGACCAGTGAATGTCTGTGTGAAGCCTTGGCCACGGAAGGATTGTCCATAGGTTTTCAAACTGGTGCAGGCCCATGTGGTTTCTTGCGACATGTTATCTTCGTGCGAGCTTGTGACAAGGGCTCAGGGCCAGAGCTTGCCCTTACATTGCTACACCAATTATCTACAGTACAGCACTGGTCATCCGGTCATACTCGCGTTTGCATGCATTAAATCGTCCCTGTCGCCATGGCAGGATGTCTTGCTGCCCTGCGGCGAGGTGCCCAGGTCCTGGTTGGAGTTCCGTGGTCGCACGTATGTAAAGTACCTGCCGCGGGAAACAGCATGTGGTAGCCTTGCCATGATCTGCACACCAGCTGAGTCAATTCTCAGCGGCTTCGGACCCAGATCCGAAAAAATGATGTCAGGATACCGGGCGGCCTGGGCGACCAGCGTTCCTGGACGTGCTAAAACAAGAGCTACGAGGTCATGTCAGTAAGAAGCGAGTAGTACAGGAAGTGAATATGTGCTGAAGATGTGATGGTTTGAGCTTTGAAAATCCGGAGCTCGCAAGAACGGGCGCAGTGCTGCATCTGGCTTCAGCCCCGGGAAGGCAACCACTATCCTAGCGATCAGCACGCTCAGAAGACCTAGGGTTGTGGGTTACCGCGCAGCTGACATGACTCGTCATGTTTTCCTGGCTGCTTGTGTCCAGGCGCTGCCCGGCAGTTTCGCCCTGTGCAAGGATGGAGTCTGGTGAGCCCACGGCCACTCCGCATCAGCACAGAACTTCACGGCTTGGTCGTTGACACTTTGCAAAGCAAGGGCAGTGCGGTCGCACGGGGACCGATGATATGCATTCCCTGCAGTGTATCAGTGTATTCGTCCGTCAGACATTTGAGGCACGAGCTGATCTCCACGAGCCAAGCTCAACCACGCACCCATGCAGCAATTTGGAAGGGAGACCAGCCTAGTGTGGTGGTTGCAGGCAGTGGGAAAAGTTGCTGAGGACTTCTCAATGTGGGGTTGCTGCACCTGACGCCTGCAGACCTTGAAAATTCACCGCATCAAGAAAGGGAGATTTGCACACATCAGGCAAGCTGTGAGGCACCTGCCTGCAAGTGGTAGCATCATCGGTAAAAATCTGCAGAAGACGGCAGCGAACCTCTGCTTTTGCTAGGATTTGCTCGGCAGCTGCACTAAGACACCAGAATTGCATCAGCAAGATTAGCAAGCTGTGCAGTAAGGATGCTTGAGGACAGAAGAGAGACGCCAGACAGCAGACGTACCATTCTTGACACTGCTGGCGACTCGGCCATGGAGCTATCGAGCCGGCCCAGCGCGGGCCGCAGGCCCACTGGGCACCGGCTGCCCAGGCTGCCCAGGATCAGGCTGAGGCTGGCGCTGCTGGCTGCTTTAGCGGCCTTGTCAGCCTGGCGGCCCGACATGCACTTCTCGCTCGGTGCTCCCCCGAGGGTTCCTGCATTCGTGGTGTCACATCGCATGTTCGACTTTGCAGACAGCAGCAGCTATTGAGAGTCAAGAAAAGAGGGGCCGCATAGCACGCTTATCCACTTATCCATTACCTACAGTATGCTGGCAATTCGGTAGCCGAGGTCTCGAAACCAACTTACCCCCACGTTCTCTCGCACACCGACCTCGCGCCGTGCCTTGGAGAACAAAGCTGTCAATGAGGGCCTTTGTCGGCAGAGTTGCTTTAGCCTCTGGTGCTTGTGCCGAAGGGTTTCTTTCAGAGCCAGAGGTGCCCTCCTGGCTCTCGCCGCGCCTTTGCCTGCGGCTGCGGCTCCGGCTCCGGCCTCAGGGCCCCAGGTTCGACGATTTTTGCAGCCGTGAAGTTGTGTGGAGTTCCAGTGTCAACGACTGTACGAGGGGTGTGGATCTGCTGTGCAACTGTCATGTTAGCTTGCCATAGCCCAGTGCATCCAGCACAGAAGACTAAGACCCGCACGTTGCGTTGCTGTTTGCAGCATAAGCGAGTCAGCCTGCACATGCATCGGCACGCTGTGAACCGGTGGAAGAACCCGTTGGATTTCAGTTCAGGCAGGGGCTGGCAGTCATGCATGAGACAAGGCACTGGGTGACATCCCGTGGGATGAGCCAAAGCGGAAGAAGACACCCCTGCCGCAACGTGGCCTCAACTATGAGAAGCTGCACGACGCCCTCTTCCACAGCTGCACGAGAGACCTAATTGAACCGTTACACAAGCGAGCATGCACAGACGTTCACCAATTGCGTCATGCTGGAAGAAATACTAGCTTGTGTGCTGCAAAAGCGTTCAGGCGTGGCATGAATGGCTCATGGAACATGTCACAATGCTGACGGGACTAGCGAAACCTTGCATAAACTTGCAAGGCAGCTTGCAGAAGAATTCACTCGCGCTTTCCAGCGCACCCAGTGGGGTGTGAATGGACGAGTGGAGCCTCGATACTTCTCTGATAGTTTTGTATTTCGTGGCTTGGCAGGGAATTCGGCTTCGCTTCGATGCATCAGCCACACAAACCGTTGTTTAGACGGCACTTGCATCTTCTGCTTCGGCTGCCTGTCATACGAGGCGATCCAGATGTGACAACAAATGGTATTCGCGAATACGCCAAGGGCACTGGCACTGTACTGTCTGGCTGCAAAGCCGATGCTGTCGCAGCTTGGTATGGGACCATATGAGATGGGACCCCTTGCATGGCTCCAGGGCGCGTTTCAGGGATCTTCGAGTTGAGACCATCGATTGTGCCACCTCCGTGCAGCTGGATGTGCCAGACGCAGCAATGCCGCATTCGGTCGCCAGGTAGGTACCTCTCCATGGCTTAGCCGGTCGTTACACGGCTTATAAGCTGGTCTGCCCCCCTCTGCATTCACATTCCAGCACGCTGGTGCATGATCTGGACTAAGTCTGGTGTATGAAAGTGTTGGGCTGCAAGACTGTCGCAACTGTTCGCCCCAGTAGCCTCTGTTCCTTTCCACGGACAGGGCACCGTTGGGCTGAGACTGGCTGAGTACAGTTGCTACTGCAGCATCTCCGTGACAGAGCGCGGTCGGATTCAGGGAGATATCGCTCGCAGGCTGTGACAGGCGGATGAAAAAGTCCAGGCGGATCGGTGCGGCGTAGCAACTCTAGTCCCACCGTACCGGATTCCCGTTTGGCTCCGTGCTTGGCGGAACGTGTTGGCAAGTTGTGGGCTCGGCCATTCGTGGCAGAGCTTCCCGGAGGATGCGTCACGACGTATCGATTGACGCAGTTCAGGTGCTTGTGCCTGCGTACATCTATAAAAAGACCTGAAAAGCAAGCTGTGCAGTGACCAAGTTCACTGCACAGCTCTTAAAATTATCGTGCGGGGACATCAATTCCCAGGCATTCGGATGCGCAAGATGATGCTCTTCCGGTCAGGGCAGGTAGCCGGTAGGTGGCTGTGTCCTGGGCACATCCTTTGTTCGTAAGACCTTGCTTTCAGTGACGGCAAAGATGGGTGCAGATGGCGATGGTGCACAGATGTGACACGACGAGTTGCAGGCAGTGGGGGGGCGGGGGCGGAGTTCCCAAGCGATGACATGGACGTAGGTGATGCTGTCGTCGCTTTATCACATTTCGATGGCCCCCGATGGCCCTGTGAATCACGACATGGAGACTGAAGGCCATCGGGTCGTTTGTCGCCACAACTTTGTCAATGTCTTCGGCATGGGCTTATTGCTGCAGGAGTTGTGTGATGTGACTTCGCGAGTTTGTAACAGTGCCACTGCTTCTGGAGCAGTTCATGCTTGGAGACGACTGCCGTGCTTAAGTTACGGCCAGCAGGGCAAAGCAATGCATGCGAGAAGTTGCGACACCGACCGAGGATGTCCAGATAATCGAGCCGGACAAGTTTGCAATTCGTTGGCGCATTGAGGGCACGGCGAATGTGCCTTTCCCGGGTCTGAAGATAAAGCCGTACATCGCAGCTCGCCGATGGAATATGAGGGCCGCACCTTATCCACTTCCGGGCTTGCTGCAAGAGCTGTAAACCGTTTTCCTCCGCACCCCTGAGAAGCATCCGTGTCCAACCTCGGCACTGATTGAGCACCCCCCCCAGCGTCCTATTCCAAGCAAACCATGTGTCAGGTCACCAGTACCTTCACCGTGAATGAAAATGGATTGGTGGACTCCGAAACGGAGCTTTGGCTCAATAGATGGGAGGGAACGGACATGAGCGGAGGAAGCAAGAGTGACCTTCAATTTTGTCTCCTGGATGGCTGTTGTTTTCCAGTGCTTTGTATCGGGTGGCGTGTATATGTGTGTATGTGTGTGTGTATATACACACACATATATATATACATGTATTTGTGTTTATTTGTATGTATGTATGTATGTATGTATGTGTGTGTGTGTATGTATGTATGTATGTATGTATGTATGTATGTATGTATGTCTGTGCTAGTTCCCCCTACACCTCGCCTGATGCGTCGAGTGCGAGTGCCAAAATGTATGTATGTATATATACAAGTTTGTACTCTTTTTTTGGCAAACTCTTTACTGCGTTTGTTTAGTCCGGCGGGTTTGTTGGTTTCATTTCCTTTCTACTGTACTACTACTGTACAGCACCAGGCCTCAGACTTGGTCGATTGTGGAGGGGGAGTGTGGGAGTGCAGGTTGAAGGAAAAGTGTTGCAAATGAAGCGTTTTTGGTCTTGGTAGTTATCTTGGAGTAATCCGGGCTTGAATTCGAGCTTCTGGTGAGGCCCAAACTAACAGCTCCTCTACCATCACTGTATTACTACTGTACTGTTGCAGTACTACTGTACAGGACCGGGCGTCAGACGTGGTCGATTGTGGAGGGGAGTGTAGGTTGGAGGAAAAAGTTAAAAATGAAGGTTGTTTTAGTCAGTCAGTGATCTTGGAGTGATGGTCTCGAGCTTTTGGTGATCCCAAACACCCCGTCCCGGGCATTCGCGGAGCCCCGCAGACCCTCCACCCAAGCCCCCCCGAACCCCTCGGACCCCCCAAAACTTTTTCTTTAAGTTGGTCAAGCCCACCCAGACCCCAAGCCAACCCAAGCCCACAAATCCTCAATAAGTCACAGGTAACGTTTTTCACCCCTGGCGAATGGTCGAAGGGGCGGTGCCCATTAAACCCGCAACCACATTATCTAGTTTTCAACTTTCAGCAGTGTAACTAGTTTGTGCGCTTTTCTCTGGTGAAGGATGCGTTTTCCATACCGACCTGGGACATCCTGCTGTCTGCTCTCACTCCGGGATTGCCATTCCTGGCCCCTCCTGAGCCGCCGGTCGCATCGCCGTTTGCATAGCTGGAAAGCAGGCTCTAGGCCTCGAGCACGGTGTGCAGTGCCCTGCTTCCGCAAGCCCAAAGCGGCCACAGTCTGGCTCGTCGAGACTTGCCTGCACACGAAAAAACCCATCGGGTCCAGCTGCAGCAAGACCTTTGCGAGGTTTCAGCTTACAGCCGATGCTTCTGTTGCCCAGATGTGCTTGGCTGCAGCACTTGGCACCAACGCGAAGAAGTGCTCGCATGCAAGCAGCAGAAGCCCACACCGTTTCAACTCTGATACTGGCCCCTTTCTTCGCTTTTGCCACTGGTTCGCGACAGCAGCCGCCATGGAGTGACCTGAGTCGTGGAGTCCGTGACTCGCCAGCTGCAAGTGCGGTATGGCATTACATGCCCCTCGCTGACATCAGTCTGAGCCGAAGACGCCTATGAGCGTGCATGTCAATGTGAATGAGTGTGAGAGAGGCTTGGGCACGTTGCCTTCTCATTCAATGTTAAGCACTTGTTCTTCCGTGAGACGCCCTGTGTGAGGACTGACACTGAAGAAGAGCTTGCTTTGGTCGAGTGGGTTAATGCTTGCGCCGTGGTCGCACGTGCATTGCCTATGTCCGGCAATGTGGCCCATCCCCGACACTCAGCGACTGCCAGGCTATCCCGACGCAGAGGCGGAGGACTTTGACGACCTTGCGGACGGTTCAATCCTGGCCGCTCCTTGACTGTTTTTGTTATCGTGGTGGCCAGGCGAACTACCGCTGGGACCGACAGTCGCAGCCCAGACGGCCGCTCTGATGCTGCAACCGTCGCTCAGGATGTGTTGCAGCTCTACGCGCCGGCTGTTGATCCCTCCAATAGCGCAGCAGGCTCCGCATGCGGATCGCTCCTACACACAGACCCCGTTGCACTCCGCGCCTAGGCTCGCGACGTGCTGCCGTTGCTACCAGTATAATTTTCTCAAGCACAAAGGGCTTTCGCAAGTAGGACTGCGCCCTGAAAGAACCTGAACAACACAACCAGACAATCTCTTCTCCCTGTCAGGGAGCGCCAAGCTGCTCCATGGCTGTCTCACTGCTTACTTCGGCTCTCGGGTGGCTTTGCCCAGGCAGGGGCCTGCCAAAGAAAGCGAGGCCTTTGGCATCACAGCCTGACAAGCTTTTCTATGCTCTAGGCAAGAAATACGCAAGAAATTCTTACCCGTGGCTCGTCACAGTAGCATGGAGATGTGGCATTCCGGAGTTGACGAGTATGTTGCTTGCTGTGCTACTACACTTGTTCTCGGCAAGGCGTCACAAGGTGAAATAGCAGAATAAACCTGAGACATGCCTGTTGCGAATCTTCTGCAAGAAAAGCGGTGAAAATCCATGCGTTAGAGCGTTTCGGATGACTTCGTCTGGGCTTCCGGTCAGGCTGGCTGGCAACATGCACAACGGGGCACCACGGCCAAGCTCAGCATCGGTCGCACTAAACTGCATTCATTTGGACTCATTATTTTCCATGTGGTCCCAGTCGTCCAGTCGACATTCTCTGAACTGCCTCAATCAAAGTCGAAGCCGTCATCAGCTTCATTGTCGATAACGACATAAGACTTAGTGGCTTGCCGGGGCCATCCAGAAGTCCGGCCAAGACCTTCTGCAAGCCCGGCCTCCTTCGAGCACTTTGTGAAGCAGTCATGCTGGCAGCCGTGGAGGGCCCGCGCAAGGCTAAGCAGCCAGGGCTTTGGTAAGACATGTTCCTGACGTCTTCGACTCGCAGCAGCCTTGCAGGAGGAGGCAATCCAAGCCATCATGAACTTGGAGGAGTTTTGCACTCAGCGTAAGCCTTATTTACGGGCTGCCGCCAGTGCCGCCGACCCCGAAAGCTGAGAGGTCACTATCCAAGGAAGGCAGCAGGCGTTGAAAACAAAATTCCAAGTAAGTGCAGGTTCACAGTGATGCCGGATCACACCCGATTTCAGCCATAGTGCCCAAGC